ACCTTCTGATATTGATTTTATTTCCACGAAAGAAACCATTCATTCATAATTTAGAGAATGAACGATGTTTAGTTATTGTTTTTATCCTATCTAGATTTTTCTTCGTCCTTGCACCATTTTTAAACGATATGGCTTCAGTCGTATTTTTTGGTATTGTTTGTAAATTACAAACTTTTGACATACTCCCTGGCCCTATTTTCGCATTCTTTTGTTCTAAATAAGTTTGAAATTAATCTCGAAATCTTTTAAATTAGTTTATTTTTTAATGAAAACTCATTTGAATTTATTGTAGAAACCTTTCTACCAATTGGACATGATATGTCGTTAATTACAAAAAAGATACGAAAGAAGACCTCGAACCGAACTTTCCGAACAACCCTCCTATATTGACAATGTAGATAACAATTCTTCTACATCTAAAATATGAGATTAAAAGAAATGATTGATTCTCCGGATTCAATCATTGTTCGAAATTGAGTCATTCATTAAAATCCTTTTTTTAAAGGTGAAGCAATTTGGCTAATTTAAAATTATTTGGGATTTTATCCAGTTAAATAAAAAATGTCAATTATCCAAATTTAAGAAAAAAGTGACTGATGTGTTAGGTCATCTTAGAAATAGCTAAAATAATTCGTTTTTTCCTCAAAAGTCATGAAAGGAGATCAAAAATGTTAACTTGACGGCTTTTAAAATTCCGTTAGTGTTTAGAAAGAACATGCGGTAAGAAAAGGGGGGACAAGCATACAGACATACAGACCGCTAGACGGACGGAGAGACAAGGAGGAAGTCTTGAGCCTCTGTCGGTTTCACTTGTACCTATGGGACTAATAATCAGGGTAATTAATTAACAATAATCATAATACTGTACATAATAAATATCATATTGCATTACATAAAATTGTATTAAGTCAACACAGTACCACTCTCCTTTGTAAGAATTATGGAATTTTACGAGGAATTTTCGTAAAGAATTTAATCATGATTTAATTTTACATTAAACACCAACTTCTCGAAACATTTCGCTACATATTTCTTATTTTTGTCAGTTGAAGGAACCTCTTGATCGTCCAAATTATTTTAGATATGGATGCTGTAGTAGATAAGGGTGTCAGTGTACTGCTGAGTAGGAGAACACCTGAAGTAATGTGTACTATGCCCCTCAGTCAAAACACCAGGATATCTCTAACTTATCTAGGTAAGTGTTTCAAGTGTACGTAAATTGATTCGTGTCTTTCTGTAATTCAACCATTAAGTACTAACAGTTACTCTGTAACATATTATGTTTATAATGATTTAACATTACTCTGACTAGATGGAACAAATGTAGCAAAGTCTAAAAACTAAACTCTCTTTTCTCTTTTCTTTACTGCATATTATGCTCATTAACTGCAGTTTCTTGTTTCATTAGTCAGCCCCCGGGCTAGTTACGTTAGGATGAAACTGCAAGTGCGCTTGCGTTAACTAATCGGAATTCTGGGAAAAAAAGATTTGCACAATTTTCTCCATCCAGAGGACGTGCTTCTTCACGGACACTCATGACCTCGATCTATTTATAGACTGCATTGTTCTTCGTCGTTCTCGACGAAAATTAATGAAATAGACTGTTCAGCTTCTAGATGGGATATTTGTCAGTTTTTAAATGATACTGTAACGTGTCCGAGCATATATGTGTATAGTATAAATCCTCAGTAGACATTTACAATGATTTTCCTAATGCATGACAATAATCCGAAAAGAGAACACGGAGATCGAGAATAAAGTTATAATAAGTTTTAATAAAGACCAAACATGTTATTTTTCAATTCACAAAGTCCCCCAGGGTATATTGGGAATTGGTAAGTGGATAAAATAATAAAAACCCAATAAAACGGGGGTGAAAATGGTAATAATTCCAAGTAATATTAAATTAGAGGTATTTAGAGGCTTAGGCTGGCACCCGAATATTTTTCCTCCAACTTACTATTTAGCTAATAAGCCGTGTGATCTCAATCCCAAAGTGTGTGTAATGCACCAGTGCAGCCGTATATGTAGGAAATTGACCGGAAATGCACAGTTACCAATGTAATCTCATGACGTATACCAAACATCACGTCTGTATTGGTAACTTCTCCAAACCGGAAACACTGCATCCCCAATTGAATTATATAGAGGAATGAAATAATGGATTTTACGTAATTATTTCGAGTGCCAGTAATTAAAAACAAAGTAAATAAGAATAAAGAAGGCCAACACTTCGACGGAGGTATGTGGTGTTTTATAATTATGTCCGTAAATGCTGAAATCGGCATGTTTTGTTATCACATGCGAACTTGTAAACAACAATGGCGGCCGCCACGCAATGTCGATCTCGACCATGTGGTATTAAATTATAAGACGTGTTATTCGCTCAATCGCCATTGCAAGCCGAAGATTTAAATTGTGTATTCCTCTGGATGCCTGATGCAAGACTCCCTCGATCAATATTCAATACCTTGCATAAAACATGTACGGGTCGGAATTCACACAACAATCCACTTGCCACAAAGGTCCCAAAATCGTGAAAAAAAGAACGATCAATTTCTTTTCACTCTAATGATGGAAGTTATGAAAACATCACAAGACCACTGTAAGACAGTAAATTCTTATAATTTACATGATGATAGACGCGTAAGTGCCACTTGTGCACGTGAACCGCGCCCACATGTAAAAAATTGACCACAGTGGAAATGCCATAGCTGAGAGAAATCTGAACCGTGCTGTTTTATAAACAGGGTCAACGCCCCCCCCCTCCCCCCCAGAAAGGAGAGAGAGAGAGAGGGGGATGATGGATTCCAGTATTTTAATCTATAGTTTTGCTATGATGGTAGACATCATCAATGACATTTTATGTATACGTACTGCATGTATAAACATATTTTGAATTTCCATTTTAAATTGTTTTCCGTGGCGTTCATTAGTTTACTGTTTTTGGAAGCAATTCTTTTCTTTCCTAATAACACTAAAATGTACGAAAGCCCATTGAGCTCATTTTCGTAGGTTAAAAATATTTTTTCGCGTTATAACGCGTAACTTTCGCGAATAAACGCATAACTTTCGCGTTATAACGCGAAACGTTTGCGAATAAACGCGAAAATTTCGCGATATAACGCGTAAGTTTCGCGTTAATAACGCGAAACTTTTGCTGTGTATCCAAGACATTTGCGTAAGTCTTAACTTTCTTTTGATTTTGATCTAATTTATTCATTACAAAGAAAAGCAAAAAGCCATTTTGATCTTGGACCATGATCACAAGCTACAATTTTAAGTTTTATTCTATTGAATCCAACCCTTTCAGATGTCTTTTTTTAACACTCTCAGAAGAATTTGAAATAAATTGTTAAGATTAAGATCTCAGAAAATAACAAAATAAGGTAAAATTGTCAATTTAATTGTGTCCCACCACGTGGGTGAAAATTGGATGTGAAATTTTCCTTTGTCTCCGTTAGATTCACTGTTGAAATACGACATCGTATTTTGAGGTTGCGCCACGTTGTCATTCCGTTGCTTACGAAAACATTGACAATTTATTCAAATTGTAAAAACTCTTTGCTTGCTGTAGATCCTTAACAGTTTTGATTTATGGCGCTAGTCCACAAACTTTTCAATAACCTTTCAGATATATATTAAATATTTGAGAAAACTTAAGAAAAAGTAGACCCCTCCTCCTCGATCAATTTCTAATTAACAATATCCATTTATATTAATTACTTAAAAACATCATATGACACGTTAAGCTCATGAAATGACACATTGTTCACTCACTTTTAAGCTATGTTTCTACAAGGTATAATTTTTAATTAAAAATGATGGATTGCTTAATTTATTAGTGGTACAATTGTAGTGAATGTTACTGATAAAAAATGCTTGAGAAAGTGTCAAGTGGAGACTTTCCTTCAATAAAATAATCAGTCTAAAGAATTTCTTGAATTTAACAACTGAAAAACATGCACAAGAAAGTAAAATTCATTTTATTAATTGGTAGGGTTTTGAAATAAAAAAAATTTAATAACTAATCTAACCTATTCTCGAACCATTCTAGCATCATTTCTCCAAGACATCTTCTGAGGAAAGGATAATTTATTAATAAATTCATGAAAGATCATGTAAGCGTTCATGTTCTTATCTGTCAGTGAAGATCAAGGTTCCTGAAAAAACATTACTATATGCATATAAATTCGCGAAATAACGCGAAAGTTACGCGTTATATCGCGAAAGTTTCGCGTTTACTCGCCAAAGTTTCGCGTTTTACCGCGAAAGTTACGCGTTTATTCGCGAAAGTTATACGTTATATCGCGAAAGTTACGCGTTATAACGCGAAAAAAATATTTTTTTAACCTACGAAAAAGAGCTCAATGGGCTTTCGTAAAAATGGATGCTCAAACTTAGAAATTGAATTAAATATACATGCACTATGCCTCCCCCCTCCACATCATGCATTGCACAACTAAAAAACTGTTATTTGATAATATATAAAAACAATCTAACACAAAGTCTACCTTCCTTTTATTCATCATAATCTATATCATTTTTATAGAATTTAATGTGATCTTAGTTGCCATGGTGGCTTTTGTTCATTTACAAGTAGGAGATGAACTTTCTCTGATGTCTGCGCCGAAGAGAATTTATTGGAGATCATTGTAATAATGACGATGCAGACTAGCTAAAATTTATTCTATGCTTTATTATTTATTATGTACAGCATTATGTTACGAATAAGAAAACGATTACGGAAAACGAATTTAACTTTTCTTACAATGGCAATTATTACATATAAGGAACACAACATGATGGATAGATCAAATCATCAACCATTACAAAACAAGAAAGAAACTTTCTGTATTCCAGTGGCTGAGTCTCAGCTTTTTTAGAAAAGCTAACCTTGTAAAGTTAAATGTACATGTGTTATTACGATTCATAAGCATTTTCAATGCTAAAACGGTAACAGAAAGGGGGGTAGGTAGTCTGTATGTTAAGACGAAATATTTCATACTTCCTCAACTTTATTTCTGATATTGTAAAAATGGAGTTCATGATCACCATAATCTAAAACAATTTACAACATACTCTGTATTTCGGGGTGAGATTCTCGGGGTGCGTTCGATTCCAGTGTTGACTGCTTTCGGGCCAGGAGCTCACTAGTCTTTGATTGGCGATAATTAACACCGTCGTACATTTTTGGGTTCTTATATCCACAGAACCTTGATAATAATCGAAAGTACCCTTTTTGTACAATTCTTAACCTTGCTGCATATATGATGGGGTCACAAACAGAATTCACCACAACAAGAATGTATAAATATCTGTTGACACGAAAAAGCGTTTCGTACACCCTATTACTACTGTCTAAAGCGTGTAACTGAATCAAAAGAGACACTTGGAAGACTAAATTCGGAAGCCAGCAGACAACGAAAGTGCCGATGATAAGCGCTGAGGTTTTCAGTGCCTTGGTGTTGTGCAATGCGTCTTTATGAAGCGCTGTTCCCTTTGTGCTTACACGTCGCACAATACAGAATATTCTTGTATAAATGAATAACATGGCGACAAAACAAACTGCCGCCGTGAATATCACAAAATATTCTGCATGGAAAACAGAAAAGTTGGTAATTTCACAAAAATTCAAATTTTCGAATGCCTCCGACTTTTGAAATCCACCAAAGAAGGAAGAAAATCCACACAGGTATCCTATTATCCATAAAATGGTTATCATGAAACTTGTCCGACGGCGGTTTAAAAGATGCACATATCGATAAGGCATCAAATTAGCTATATAGTGATCTATAGCTATTGCTAAAAGGTTCAACAGCGACATCAAGTTTGCCATATTGTTGAATGACACGACACAAACTTGAATGCAGGCGGAGAGGAGTCGAGAATTAGGATCGAGAGATGGCACGTTGAAATGACTGTCAACAATGTGCATAAATACACTGACTGGGACGAGAATATCGGAGGCTGCCAGACTTATTATCACTTTGGTATGTGCTGTCGAAGAGATTTGTGACGTAGCCATGATGGACACAACATTAAACAGCAATGCAACAACACACAGGATAAAAGTAACAATTGTCTCGGGTCTCGCCAAGTCCTCGCCTAATTCCTGGTTTTCAAACAAGGGGACAAATGTATAGTTGGAATTGTATGAAGAATTCAATCTTAATAAATTCCAACATAATCTTATCACATATCTGATATTAGTTCCATTGAATGCGTTTTGGCCCTCCTCACATAACCAATCCATTCGCCAGTCCGGCATCGTTACTCTTCCATTATTCATATGCAGATTTTCTTACTCCTGAGAACTACCATATATACTGCCCGTCATTGTGGCTGAAAATAAAAAAAATACAACTGTGTTTAAACCACGGAACATTAAGTGACAAGATCTGAAATAAGCAACTTACGTCATTTCCATCTGTTACAGTCAAAACATTTGATATCAGACAATGAAATGGGCGGGTACAATTTGACTCAGACTTCTGAGAAAACCCGGATTGAAATTCTGGTTCGTAATTCATTATCCATCTACCTGAGTTATTTCATCTGCATGTTTTACTCATATGGGCTCCTATACTTCTATAATCATTGTGGAGGAAAAAATAAAACCAGGGGCTCGTTTCTCAAAAAGGCCTACGACCAGGCGTAAGATTAGTCCGGACTAAATCAGTGACTAAACCCGAGAATCAGACTATATAACGTTCCACAAAAAGGCGGAGACTTAGTAGAGACTAAATTTTGGTTTAAATCTACGCCTGCTCATGAGTAGGCGTAAGTGCTTTGTCTGTACATAACTTGGAAAAAGTGGCAAGTGGGTTAAAAGACTAATTGTTTTATATGTATGCGATATAATACCTATTCATATACATAATTACATGTACATATAAAATGCAAAAGACGTGAAATAGACGTGTATTATGTAGAAAAATAGAAAGGTAATAAAATCCAGCGAATGTGCATATTTTTTTCCGTGAGAGGTGTGATCAACTATACATTTGTAACTAAGAATTTTGAACTGAAATTGGGTAAGAATTTAAGAAGTACAACAGTTTAAAAAAAAAAAACACCAGGCACTCGTAGTGCAGGGGAGGGGCTTGCAATCCTTCCTCTTTTTTTCCCGGTCAAAGTCCTTTCTGTTAAAATCAAGCTGAATGTTTTATGCTGACCTGAACTTTCAGTTTTTGTCTTCTCTTACTGTCATATTTTGCTGAACAATACTAACACCCCCATCCCAATACCGCGAACATATTTTTTTTGTTTTGAAATGCATGGTGTTCAATAAAATCCTTAAGCACTATATTTTAAAATAAACGACGTAAATTTAAGATAATTAAAAATAATCGGTATCTATGCCATCAAAAACTATGATAATGCACCTTAACTTAAGTTAATGCATCTTTAATTTCCCATTTACTTAAATATGACATCAAAATAACAGAAAAATGTGAATTTGTATAATAATCTAGTATTAATAAATATTCTGTTCATAACACTGTTCATTCCTATTTCAAATGAGTCACTGTTAGGGCGTAATATGTGCAAATGGGTCTTTCAATTTAAAAATAAAAAAAGTACTTATTCTCAGACGCACTTTGCTTGAGTGTCTTTTTAATCAATTTATTGTAACAGACAGATACTTTATATTATAGGTACATTTGAAGAGAAAGTGGTCAATAAATTGTCTTAAATTTTTTTATTGTAAATGAGAACAGAATAGAAGAGGTTTTAATGATTTATAAAAAAAAAAAATACCAGTATTAATTAATATGAAAATTGTGACTCTTTAATATCTTTGAATCTAGATTAAATCATGTATCGATGAAGAAATATTGCATGATCACACACTCTTAAGGTAGGATTCTTCTCTGGTTTCTGACTAGATGAAACATTCAAAGTATATTTGCTTATATGTCTTATATATTGAGGTGTAAGGAATTTAAAAGACCATATTTTTTTCCTCATCACAATTGTACAACTTTAACTAGAAATGGTAAACTGCGTTTGAAAACTAGCAGGGACTATATTTTTGGCGGAATGGTGGCGTATGAAAATATCTTCTTTTCTGCCTCTCAAAATTATAATAGAACAATGAATTTAGTTATAATTTTTACACAATCGAAGTCTTGGAGAAATTTTCAAATGTATGTTAGATTAATAATGAGGGACTAAACTTTAAAAATATATCAAATAAATTTGATTTTTCAAACAAACTAGATCTTTATTAGCTTTTGAACGCTTCCTATCAAAGTGCAGATCTGAGCCAAAAATCCAGAAAAAGTATTTTTTTCACTCTTAGTAAACGATCAAAACATTTTGTTTTTGTATCATTTTGTACACTTATAAGACTACTTTATTATATGTGAAAATAGGAAAAAGTTAAATATAGGAAGCATATGAAAATGACTAATATATCCTAAAAAATTAAGAAAAACAGAGAAAATTCGGATTAGCCAATATCCAGTTAAGTTACATTATTTATGTAAATTTCGAAATATCATGCTATAGACCCGATATAGCAATATGTTTTTATGCAAAAAGAACAATCTTTAAACTTTTGAAATAGAAGTAGGTATCACATGATTGGCAACAGTTAATTTTTATTCTTAATGTCAAAGAAAAGATAATGACCTTGACCTGACCTTGCCTCTAATATAAAACGGTCAAATTTAATTTCACTAACACTATCACTTACTGGTACTGTCTTCTTGATTCTGTGAAAATTTCATGAATTTTTAAAAATTAGAAATATGAGAAGAATCCTACCTTTATGGAAATTGAAAGGGAATTGCTAGATTTAAGAAAAAGAGGGTGATGTTGAAATATTACCTTTCCCGATGTAAATAAATATGATCCAGAGTGGAAATATGTCAGCAATATATATTTATAAAAAAAACTAGGTTTCTTCTTTGTAATACGGTGTTAAAGAAATTGATTAAAAAAAAACTAATCTAGCTTTCGCAAACCTTATTTGAGAATGCTTGTGCTAATATGCGAGCTGTATATATACGAGTATTCGTACCCGTTTCTCTTCATGGACTGTGTAATTAATCGATATCAATGTAATACTGTATGCCAAAAGTATAATATCATAATACATGTTTCAGCTTGAATGCCAATAAGTATTAAGGAATAACTGTCTTATTTTTCAATTTCATGATGTGATCAATCGATTGGCTTACGTGACAATTTGCATAAACGCCGAAGGCGTTTATGCATAAAATTATCAAGCAAGCCAATCGATTGATCATCGTCATGAAACTGAAAAATCTGACAGTTATTCCTTATATTTACATGCTTTTGATTCCGCCAATCCACGTCCTCCAAAAAAGAGGGGCCAGGCTGTAATTACCTGTAATCCAAATATGTGCAAAACGGGAACAAACCGATAATTTTACCCTAAGTCGGGAGAGGGCAAGCCATACATTATTTTAATGATAGCCTGACCAATGCTTACAAGCTATGTACCTGATTATTAAATTATTTTAATTTCAGGAGTCTTGAATCTTGAAAAAAGAAACCCAGTCTGAATTAAAATCTCCTCTATTAGTGTTGTCATGAAAGTGATGATTTGCAGGTGAATTTTCAAGAGATCTACAGAAATTTATTGAATCTGAAAAACATTTTGATTGAAATGATTGAATGGATTCCGATTTCACACCTTTGTAAATATATTGGTACATTTAGCCCGAAGGAATTTTTTCACATCTCTCAGAATTTCAGCGAAACGATGATATACACATATATTCAAGAATTCATATCCACATAGACTAATCACCACACGAGCCATTTCCTGTTTATTATCCATTTGTGTATAGCTTGTGTCAGAGTAACTACTCTTAAATTATTTTAAAGTTTTCCAAAGTAAAAAGCACATTTCAAAGTGTTGATTAATAAATATACAAAAATGTAGTAAATAAATAATAGATGATAAGCTAAAATTACTAATTTATAACTTAACCTAAGAGATTAGCTGTTAATTAAGAGTTAAGTCACAAAATGTGCTAATTATTGAGTTATTACCAATGAAAAAAAGTAATTGATATTTGTTTACATTTGATAATTAAATGAAAATTTCAAAATATTTGAATGTTAGGCATCATGGTTTCCTCATTCAAAGATCTATTGCCACTTATTTTTGTAACAGGCTTGGGGGTTGTCAAGTGAAGAACAAGTAACTGCCTGTTGAGGGTTCTGACAAGACTTTATTACCAGATATGAATTAAACCCTGCAATATTAACAATATAACAAGTGTAAATATTTAAGCATAAAAACACAATGATTGTCAAGGGAGATAATTCATTACACATAGAATATACATATATTTCTCCGCAATTATATATCAATCAATATTCAGCATAAAACTTTACAATAATTATCATCATAATGTATTTGAACATTATATATTACTGAATAAGCATAAAACTATGTGCATACCATTCTATGGGAATAGGCGTGTACAGCAAGCAGCAATGCTGCAGATTTACAATAATACAGCCTGAGTGGTCTGTAAACAATTACACAATATATTACACACCAAATCATAAAGATATGTTACCTTAAAAATATATAACAATGAGATCTTTCTGTTTACTCATACTTAAAAAATATCATTCTCACTGATCTCATTTACTCAGGGAAAGTGCTTAGTGAAATAGATCAAGAATGCAAAATTACTGATTGGACATTTAATTGAAATATAAGAATCATATTAATATTAGTAATAAATTGTTAACATACCAGAAGGAGAAGAAAGTCAGTCTCTATGAAAAGGTCTGATTGTCAAAATGTCAGATCAAAAGATATACATCATCACTGACCAAACTCTGGACAAAGAATGTCCAGAAAACCAAGAACCTTCTGGAGGGAAAAACACTAACCAATCCCCAAGTAAAACACACAGTAAAACACCAATGAAATTAAAAGAAACATCCGACATTAGGCCTGGATATAATTAATGACCTTAGGCCATTTCTACCTATATGAACCTGTTGACAGACCATGGGTGAATGCACACTAAAGGCTTTAAACTGAATAATTATATTATTCAACATGTGCATTTTAAATCAAATTAAATATGATAAATCATAATTACCATACATGTATATAATAAATACATGTATGCATAGAAAATTAATAAAATATGTATCTGCCACATTCTCCCCCTGGTGTGAGAATGGCGTCCGCGCCATTGCCAGGACCCCGAATGTGACACAAAGTACTGTATATTGGCATAAAAGAAACAATATATACAATTAAAACATCACTTACCTGTTATGATGCTGATAAGGGCTCTGGATGCCTCCTTATCCAGCTTCTGGAAAGTTCCATCCTCTACTATCTTTTCCAGGTAAGCAGCCTTCTGCATCCACTCTGGATGATGCTGAAGGGACATAACATAATCTTTTGTCCAGGTTGGCTTCATTTTCTTTCTCGTGGAAATTCTTGGTACAGGTTGTGGTGTACTAGGTGGCGAAGGCACGGAGATAACATCAGTCTCTTCATGGTCATCTTCAGTAACTGGATCCTCTGGATCAAGTTCATTTATTACTGTCACATCAGACACTGACTCAGGAACATCATCATCATCATCATCATCATCATCATCATCATCATCATCAGGTACACTGATGGGAATAGGAGCGTCCTCCTTAGATGTGCTCTGAG